CACCCACCATCAAAACCTCACTAACAACCCCGAAAAGCAATGATCCGCTACTTCCTCCACCACCCGCTGACCCCGCGGCCGCTGCGGTTCAGCCGCACCCGGTTCCTGCGGCACTGGACGATCCACCGGGCGTGGCACCTGTACCAGGCGCAGCGGCGGCGGGCGGAGACGCTGGAGCTGGAGCGGCAGTGGCAGGCGATGCGGGCGGCGTGCGAGGAGCTGCGCACGGGCGCGGGCGACGGCGGCAAGCTGTTCCGGAAGAGCATGATCAAGACGGGGATCTTCAAGGATCTGTTCCCCATCGAGTACGCCCGGTTGCAGACCGAGGGCCCGCCGGCGGAGGGGTGGAATCATGAGTGGAAGGCTTTGAAATGATCTATCCTGTTTTTGATGGGTGGGTAAGATGGGGATATTGGGGGGTTATACATGGAAGGTTGGGGTGGGAAAATATGGGTGTAGAGTATCGCTCTCCTGGGTTTAAGACTGTTTCTTTGTCGTGTATATTAATAGTACATAACTGCTTCAATCATATTATCTGGTGTTGTTTGTCTACTCCGTGGGTACTGGGTACTCTGCTTTGCCAGTGGTAAAACTTCCATACTACTCAGATTTACTGCCTCGAAGTTCAAATAGCTTAACGCTGGGCACTGGCATGCACACGCACACAAGGGAATGGACTCGAAAACCCGTCAAGGAAAGTAATGTCAGTCGACTCAAGTAATGTCAGTCGACTCCAAGGGTATGAAACAGAGGTCAAGACTGCAACAACAAAAAAAAGGCCACCCGAACGCCGAAAATGCAAAGTCGATCAACAGCCACCACACACTATCTCCTTCACATACTGTCCACCTTTTGGTCCCACCACCCCCCGCAATATGCACATGCCATGCTCATGGCTCTCCGAACGTTGGAAAATGGCTCAACAACAGATGCAACAACGCACAAAAACGAAGAATCAATCTCGGTCGTGCGGACGGGCGGGCTGGCATGCATGCAATATGTTCGCTGGAAACAAGGACATCCTTTCCCCCCAAACATACAATACGAGAAAAAGAAAGATCCGTCCGACATCATAGCACAATGCAGCATGAGCTCTTCCGCTTGTCGAACGTCAGCAGCGCGGCCCGGGTGGCGGCCTCGAACACGTCGTCCACCCCCTCCCCCGTCAAGGAGGAACACTCCAAGTACTTGCGGGCGCCGATCTGGGTGCCGATATCGCTTCCTTCCTTGGACGTGACGAACCTCAGCGACTTCTTCCGCATCTCCTCGACCGCCAAGGGGTCCTCCCGGAGATCCTTCTTCAACCCGACCAGGATGATGGGGACGCCGGGACATCGTTCGTTCGCTTCTTCGATCCACTGCACCGTAGTAGCCTTTGTCAGTGCTCCGTTCTGCTACCCAAGATAACAGAGCCACGAACCTTGTGTTTGACGTTCTCCAACGAATCAGGCGTATCCACCGAAAAGCCGATCAGAATCACATGCGCCTTCGAGTAGGCCAGCGGGCGCAGCCGTTCGTAGTCTTCCTGACCAGCAGTATCCCACAGAGCCAATTGAACCGACCGACCGTCCACGCGGCAATCTGTTACGTAGTTCTCGAAGACCGTTGGCACCTAGGTTGGATCATGCGCCGGTCAGGATGTTGTTGCAAAGAACAAAAAGAGCGACGGGGGGTAGACAATACATACATAATGCTGCATGAGACAAATCAGTCAGTGACATCATCCTTTGAGAGTTTCGAGTTGGGACAACAACATACCGTTGGAAAGTAGCCCAGAGTGAAGACGCTGAGCAAACTGGTTTTCCCACAGGCACCATCCCCGATAATCACCAGCTTTCTATCCTAGTCGTTAGAACCCAGGCGAACCCCGAATGTCTAGGTGCATCGTGTGTAACTTCATGGTGGCCGCCAACACAGAATGGGGGATGGGAGATGGGCGGATCCCGGGGGATCTCCAGGCACCACCCGTTTCGGGCGGAGGTGAGGAGGGGGGGGGAAGAGAGGAGAGGGGAGGGGAGGGAGGGAAGAGACAGGTTCAAGGGAAAGGAAGGTCGATCGAAATAGATTGAAGGCGAATCTGCCGCACGTACCTTCGCATCACATTGTCATTTTGTTGTTGTTGTTGCGCCATGATTTCCAAAGAGAAAAAAAAAAGAAAAGTGGGAATCTTTAAAGTCGATCCCCTGGACGGAGTTGCAGGCGAGGAATGGACGGGATGAGCAACGGGAAATCAATGTGAGGGCGCGCTGACGAGCCCTGGCGGGAAGTCGGAACGGAACAAAACCCCCCAGGCAGGCAGCAAGCAGGAGGCTGTGACGGAGTTGTCTAGGGCCGTGAACTAAATCTCTGTAGTTCAAATGTGTAAGTGTAAAGTAAGTGTAGGTGTAAGTGTAGGTGTCAGTGTAGGTGTAAGATGGCGAATGTTTAGTTAAAGATTGATTGGGGAGGGGAAAGTATAATGCAGTGGATGGGAGGGGAAAGAAAGTGAAATCAGATTGGTCAATGTCCCCTCCCCCTAAGTATGAAATAAACTGATGGAGGAAGAGAAAAGGGTCATTATATTGGGAAGGGAAGATGTAGGAGTAGAGAGGAAGAGGAACGAGGGAGGAGATGAAGAAGAAGAGTAAGAAGAGCAAGAGTAGGTAGACAACAGATCAATCGGAGCCAAGCAGAGAGAGTACGGAGTAGACAAGAGACAAACAGTCAGATAGACATGGCCAGGTCCAAGATTGGTTCTGGAAGGCGGTCGCCCATCCAGGATCCAAATGAGGCTGACGGTTATGGTATGTAATCCCATGTACGGAGTAATCTCACAAGCAACTCACCTTCTCGGGCCCGAATACGGTCACGGAACAGAGCTCCAATTATGACTGGTTGAGGAAAGTATGTACTCCGTACCTACTAGGTAGGTAGTAATAATGAATCCCACGGGTGAGAAAACGAGGTAGTATATATGGACTGATTGATTGATTGATTACCACTACCCCATCAGCTACTAGTCATTATTCTTCTTGTCAAGTGGAAATCCATCGAAAACATCGAGAGAAAATTCCAGCCCGGCCGAAGCACCAGCACCAGCACCAGCACTCGCCCTAAATGGACTGGACCACTTCCTCCCTCCACTTCT